CATTACCCTTAAGCTTCTTTCCGTGGACTTGCGTGTGCAATTTCCAACTGCCTTTTTATCTTCACTATTGTACATGTACCGATACCAACATTTGCCAACTGTATTATATCTGTTTATCACTGTACCAATTAACCTCACGCCTCTTCACAATCCGAAATTACTAATAACCATCAACATTGTGGAAACTCTATGCTGTCTGTATGATATAATTCACATCCTTCTGTTCTTGTAAAAAAATAACGATTGCATAGCCAGACAAACTGCATGATTCATTTTCATTTATAATGTAAAAAGTTTGTAATTTTGAATTTACGCCATAAAACTGACATTGTTACATGGAAAGCAAATAAGGAACAACATATATTATGATGTTCGCGTGGTACGTGTAAGAAGGATAGGCGTGTCGTCGACGTGCTGGTCAGCAGATATATTTACATCGCCCACATCTGCCACGAATTGACCTACATTAATTTGTACCTGTACTGTTTTATTGTTTGGGTGGACACAAGTGTACAAGTATACAATCATCATTACGAACAGGTAAACTTGGTATCAAATACCTTTTGACAGTAAATCAAACCTAGCACGTACATTATGGTGTCGTAAAGGAATGCTCGCTATTCAACGAATTCCGTTTGTCATTTAACATGGTATATCACCCTTTCTTGATACAGTTCATTCACGATTAGCCCATGATATAATGACGTAAACGTTTCAACTTGTTGTAGAAAACACTGGATGTTCCTAACATTGTGGTAAGTACCGTTGAATGTCGTATGGTATACTTGGTTATCTTACTGAAACCAACATTGTAATGGTGTTTTTATATCTTGAAGACTTTTAATTTTAACCGTTGATTTGGAAATTATTTCAAGACGCATGACGTCTGTATGGACATCGAGTGTTTGCCATTCATGACGAGAACTTGTCACGTAAGTCAAAAAATCATGTTTGACAAAATTTACTTCTGTCGAATGTTTGTACGGCGTTTCAACTACGTATGTGTTTGACTGCTAAAGAATAGAAGATAACATTTGACAGCTTATCTTGATTCTGTTTAACGTATTGAGGAAGGTGTTATTATACGAACAGTCTCATTTTCTCAATATCAGAGGACGTCACCCTTTTATTAAATGGTCTTGAATAGGTACTGTTGTATCGTATTTTAACGTATATATACGTACTCTGATAGTGCTAAACCGTCATTATGATTGGGTAAATGGGAACGTCGAAACGGAGGAGGGATATCAGAACTGTATTGACATTCTCGTCTTTATGGTTCTTTAATTCGACATCAGCAGACAGATCGACCCTGTACTATACAGCAAAGGTTTGGCTGTGTGCTCTGGATGTGTCGTGTATTGGTAATACAATACAATACCGTGTATTTGGGATGGGGCGTCTTTAACACGATTGCTACAAGCTTTATCATCTTAACGGATCTAATTATCCTAAATTTTTAAACAATAATTCCCAATCTCACATAAACTATACGAATTTGTTTCTTATCTTCAGGTAATGAAGCATGAAAATATTAATATAGATATTTTACTTTTCGGAATTGGTCATCAAAAAACTGTTTAATTTCCCTAAGCTAACCAGGCTTGGTCATACAGAAAGTGTTGTTATTGACTTATGGCACCTTTCAAATAGAAATTGCGCGTATTTTCGTTTTGAAATATTTGGAATGCGTATAATGTTCTCTGATTTAGACGTTTAACGGAAGGAATACATTACCATTATCAATTTAATTCTTGAACAGGATATAATTTGTTTTCTTATGAATAAACAAACGTGTTGATTAGTATGTTTACCTGCTCCCTAAAGTGATAATTTAGAGATATATACGAATGAATAGGGCGTGGGAGCGTTTATGGGGCAAAGAACGAGGTTGCTCTCTATAATCTTGGAGAAAGTTTAAACAAGTTGAATTGACTTTTGTCTAATACTTTCAGCGTTAATAGGCAATAACATATGGTCGATTACTATATAATCAATCTGTTCTTATCAATCACAACTTACTCGTTAGAACTAGAACTATGTGTGACATTTTCTGTACAACAAAGGAAAATGAACCCTTTGTCTTAAAAACCTGAAATATGTCCATCGTTTCATTGATAATCCTTTAAATATTTCTTTAAAAAGTTTAATGTCCTGGTTGAAAAACGTATTGTATTATTTGACGAGAAAGTAACAAGACATTTTATAAACAATCAGAGTTAGGTTAAGAACCTGTACCTTGTAGTTGTTATTTACATTTAAAACAGGTACCGTATCCCTCATCGTCGATAACTGCTTAACCCCACAGTAGGGGTCAGGTTTACCTGATTTTACAGCACTTAGCACATGGCCGCCTAAATTAAATTAACGATTCCGAGCGTTAATTAATACAAGGAGGAAAAGGGATCAAGGCAAAGCTGAGGTCGAGAGATCGAGATCTTATCCAAGAAGTAACACGCGAGTTACAGGTTTATATATACATGTTTACGTGCCACCAAGGGCGAACATCTTACCTGTAGTTTTTACCTGAGAAACGGGTACGCACACTAACTATCCAGGATGTGTAATTTCATCTTAATTTCTTATCAAACCATTCGCATTCTTTTACCGGTGATAAGCCACACAATAACGCTACTGTTAACAGTATTTGAGAGTATATAAAGGATTAACACAGGGTTGTGTGGTTAGTCGAGTACATATCGTCAAACGGATATTAGCGTTTGTCTTAAAGGATATAGTATATAATATTCAGGGCACTGTGTATTTATAAAATATAAGACTACTTTCAAAAAAGTAACTTATCATATTGTGTAAGTATGTACATATTTTATTAACTTTCGATTTATACTCGATACAACCTATTGTTTTTATAAGTTATTTTTTATGATTATTCAATTTAAAAGATGCTTCATTTCCTAACTATATGGTGTAGGGTATCTACAAAATATTTAATAAAACTTATAAAACTTCAAAAATAGAAATAGTATTAGCTTAGTTTTCTCTTTGTAATTACCATTCGACTTCCGAAAGTTTCAAAGTAGCAAACAAAATTGTTTACACTACATGTATTTTATATGTGCACAAAGATAATTCACGCTACACGTAATATTTCTTGATAAACAATTTCTCTGTATTTTATATTCACTGGTCTCTGTAAAAATTAAGTAAACGATGTCTTTGATAACGCACGCTCTTGGCTAGTGGTAGCGTCCTTTCTAGACCTAATTTCACTAGATAAATAAGTGTGTGAATCTCGCAACAAAAAAGTCGGAAATAGTCATGATTATGTGAGATGTTTGTTGCTTATTTTTTTATCTTGCTGTGAGGGGAAAGAGTGTAGATTTGATAAGGTTGTTTTTTGTTGATTGCAGGTGTACGTGGTGCTATGCGAATTTACCACGATGAGGAACGACGGCCTGAGGTATCAACTGTAAGTAATGGTATAAAAAATATGCTGTGGTATAAGATAACAGGAACACACGCAGCTTCACAAAATCTTAATGTATCAATGTCAGATAGTTTGGAATTAGTTTCATCACAGTTGCTTCGTTTGTTAACACTTAAGATTTGAAGATAAGCCTTAACAGTTATATAAAAACCTTGAAGTTTTGATTTTTTTTCATATCACGGAAGCGTAAACGACTCTCCGAAATATCCTCCTGCCTCGTTAAAAGGAAATTTATAATTACATATTAAACATTAATTTGTTCTACCTAATTTAACGGATGCGAAACAACTTCATACTAAATTTAAACTCAGAGTTGTTTGTTACTTTGCTCTTTAATAGTGCAAGGATACATAACTCTACAATATGCTCATTGAACTAAACTGATACGAATACTTTTGAGAAGTTCTTGGTGAGATTTCTCATTGCTAAAAAGATATATACATTGATATAATTGAATTAAAACTGTACAAATAATCTACTTCTATATATAACGTACATAAATAAACAACTATAGACATACAACTCATGGAACCTCTGCTAAAGTTTATCATTTATTGACTTTACATTAGTATGTTAATGTTCTTAGATTCTTACTATAAAGCAAAAAAGCACTGCGTTACATAAATAGATAACTAACCCAGGTGGTTCTAAGGTAGGTACCGTCATAGCAAATGACTTCACACAACTGCTAACGCGACTAACAGGCGAGAATCATGCGGTGTCCTCCCATACAAAACATCGAAGAAGTACTGGTAACCTGCTCGCACTGTGCGACCCCTTATGGATGTTTTAATTCTGTGTCAATATCGTCCAATAAGTGATTTGCCCCAGTTGGAAGTCATTTTCATTTCACCTCGTGTTAACGAACATCTGTGCATCACGAGCACCACATGCGGCGCCGTTAATTGTATTTATATACAGACGGTAGAGAGGTGGCACTCGCTTATAATTAAGTGTTAAGAAAGAAGGCATTTTCATGTCTAGCTTTTATATTACCTTTGTAAATCAAATTTTCTTACCTACTTTTTTTTTATTGACAATAAATATTTTCACTTCCGGTTCGGATATACCCCTGCGATAATTTCCGGTTTGTTATGGTGGTTGGTTAATTTAAATGCTAGTTAGGTCGGTTAAACAATCTGTTTGGCACTCGGAAGTCTCAATGTTCACCGAATATCAGTAAGTATTCACCATAATTGTTTAATAATGAATGGTTTAGTTGACTCTCGACTTTGATAATTTTTAAGTGTCGTTATCAACTTTCACTGAACAATGTAATACACTTCAAGTCAACTGAAACATTTTTCTATTTCCGTTACGACTACCTCACAGTTCACATTGAATTTCTATTTTTCATACCCTCATGACAAACTATAGCTCAATTCAATGTACAATACAGTTTATGAAATATAATAATCGGCTTTGACAAGCTTGACCTTACACGGTAGTGCTATATGACCTGACTTTGTGACGCTAGTATTTATGAATTAAGTTCCCGACAATGTCACCACCCTTCCGAAGCCTGCACCTGTTGAGTCGAGCTGTCACTCTTCTGGCAAAAACATGGGAATACGGCCTTCCCTGTAAAACAGTAGTTAGTTTTACTCTGGTAGACACGTTTCGCTGACACAGACTCTGTGGTAGTATAACACTCACCGTTGACGTGAGATCATTCAAGTGGTGTCGTAGATCTCCATTCACACATTGTTATATTTTAGTACGAGTGGAGGAAAGGTGGTTATATCACCGCAAAGTTAAGAGATCATATTCGGGATTCGGTTTATGATATATTGTTTCTGCTGATGTTGAGACTTGTGACAGACATATAAGTTGTTTAACATTTCAAGAGATAGAAATTTCCGGACGAGTAATTAATTTCGCTGGAAGACCGATAGATTTTTAGATCGATGGTCAAGCGCTGACACTGTCTATTACATCTCTTGACGAAGGCTGGGGTAATCCCCTATCGGTCTGTACGTCAGTACACGTATATACATGCGTTGAGCACACAGAGAGAGTGGAGAAGGGAGACCTCCGGTTGTGTGTCAGTTACTATCTAAGTCACACTCGTCTGTGAACCGATATAACTGTGGGAACTCCAGCATTTTTGGCACCCAGAACCACAGGAACATGTTTGTGTAATGCAATGTGCCCAGATCAGATATATTCGGGATGGTCATTGTTGTGTAAAAAAAAAAAAACATTTTGAACACTTTGTACAAAACCGAAAATGTGCAATCGACGTTTTAAAACGGTTGTGACGTCCATAGTTGTATGAGGAGTGTTACAGGCCTGTGTAACGTGTGTCGCGGTTAGTATCATGACTGATATTTCTTCAATACACAGGGAGAAACTCAAAGAGAATATGAGAAACATGTCATCTCCAAACCTCCTTCGCAAGATATCTATGTCGTCCAAGCAACGTCCATTCCGGATAGTTATTCTAGGACAAAATGGAGTTGGCAAGTCAGGTATGTACATTTGTTCTTTTTATTTGTATCTTAAATCAGTCAATGTGAAAAGTGTATCTCCTTTCCATTTAAATCTTTGTAAAACAAAGAAACAAAATAAACGAGGAAATCATTATAATTTCTTTGTTTTTCAAATACATGTATCACTGCATACACTAGAAAGTACTACAGGTTGGTATTTTGAACTGGAACAAAAAAATAATCTGTATTCATCAATTGGAAAGACAAAGGGAGATTTGTAAATATAATGATCTACTTTATTAAGCTATTGATCTTTTGTTTTGCTTTCTTACACCTTGTGTTTTTTTCTGCATTATCATTATCATATATCATTTATAATTTCGCTCAAGTGCATATATTTTTGTTCTGGGTTTTTATTCATGTGGTATAGCTTTGTCGTGAACTTTGTTAGTTAATGTCAATCTGACATTTGTGACACCATGCCACATTTTTCTATGAAGCAACAATTCCTATGACAATAGGATACCAAACACAATGTGACATTCGGGCCGTTGATAGAGGAACAATGTATAGGGAAAGCCAAGCGTTTGATTAACTCCCCGTACACATGTGTATATCGCACGGCTGGTGAAGCAAATATTGAATCTGTTTGTTGTAAATAACTATACAAACATCACATGCTATAAATCATTGTCCCGCTACCTCTCTGACATTTCACGCTTACGTTCTATAAACCATAGTTTAAATGCGGCAAGCGATAAAAGAACGACATAGTAAAACGCTTTATATATAACGCAACCGACGATTTAACAACCATAATGCAATTCATAAAATGTCCAAAAAGGTTGTAACCTTTCACAATGTTAGCTGACAACAACAAAAGATGTAGTGCTTGCATTTGCAGTCATCTTTCCTTTCTAAGGCCATAGTCGTTCATGTTATGAAATGTAACTTTGCTTTAAAATTTCTTATCTGTACAAGTATTTCTCTAACTGCGTAAGCAAACAAAATACAAATAAAGAGGCCGCTGAAACCTACTGCATCTTTCAAATGCATTGCTTCATCAGATATTTTAGAATTAAAAACGCTAAAAAGCCCTTTTCCAAACCTTGCTCATCAATCTCAAGTCCTGACATGTAGCTGTGTTACCCATCAGTTTCCATATGTACATATGGTACACGGTACACGCACATTCACACACGTGCACAAGCTTTGTGCAGACACATGCAAACCATCCGGTATAAAGATGATATCTCGTGTCCTCGGCAAACGTTCCCAACAACTATGTAGCAGTTGATCAGAGGTTCTGATAAAGAAAAAAGAAAACTTTAATGGTGATCGTCAGCAATTAAAACATGAGACTGTTTCAAAATCCCGAAATTTTGTTTTATTGTTGATTGGGAAGTTTGATAAATCAAATAAAAATATTATTTAAAGCTAAATGTGCATCTTCACATACTTGATAGGTGACAAACTGCAATCATATGATCTGTTCATGGACATCCTACCCGATAAATGGCCGACATGGGGTATTGGTTTGTACTGCGTCGTAACGTCTGTATTTTTAATTTTAAAGAAATAATAAAGATGTTCCTTATTAATCCACATACGTTGATTTCAGTTGAAGGCGAGCGTGTGTACAGGATAAGCAGGAAATGTTGACATTTAGAATTACATAGAAATGTCTGCGCTGGTGACATCCAGTAAATGCTAGACACGCTTTGTATTATTAACACTGCCCTCACACACTATAAACATCTCATGTAGCACAAATTAACTACCGACCTACTGACAAGATTTTTTATCAGTTTTTCTCCTTCATAAGTGCAGCGTGAAATTGCACTTTAAATTGTGATGAAATTTGTAGTGACGTTTGAAAATAACGCAACTCAATAACTACATTAAAAATGAAGACTAGGAGTGATGATTGACTTGGTAATTGAGAGACTATGAACTCTTACATTTGGCACGGTAGTATTTTATACCTATACTGATGCTTTGTATTAATATTTTTAGAAAAAAAAGCACTGCTTAAAAAGTATGTATATTGAACATGATTTTATGATCAATAAAACCATAATTTATTAATGTCTTTTACCTACTTAAACTATCCGTGTTAAGCAATAACAACATACGAAGCATGTGTTTGGCCCAGAACATTTTACGCAGCTCAACCTCGAATAAGTTGATTTAGTGCTTTTGCGATTAAGCTACATGACAGAAAAGAAACTGAAAGATGTTTTTGAGCAAACTACATATGAAAATAGAAAATGTTATAAACATGGAGTTTTCAATTATAACAAAAATAATTTACATGGTACAGAATCTTACTAAAAATATTGATATAAATCATATTTTAGATGTCCACGTGCAAACAAAATAGGTTTGTATGTGGCCAGTTAAATGTATCTGTCCATAAAATTCACCACAAACTATTTTATCAGGACGTTGTGATATTGATGTTTGTCAAATGTCCCGTGGAAACATTTTAACAATACAAAAGCACACGCCCTATGGACGTAATTTCACGCCAAGTTTACAAACTGGTTTTCTTAGGCCGTTTATTTACTGTATCCGTATAGGCCACTTATAAAATAAGAATGAATTGTCAACTTAAATTTTCAATTGAATATCAATTCTTTCAATGCTTGACACTTTTATATCGTATTATATCGAAAAAATAATGATACTCCAAAAATTAGATTGACACTAACGATCATACGGACTGCAACATTAGATGGTTGTCAACATTGTACCATTTTATTTTCATTGACGTTAAGCTGATTAGTCTTTTGGCAACATAACTTGTACAAGATTTGTAACTATTACTTGGATAAAGCAGGTTCACATGTAAAACCCCAGGTGTGGGGTGCGTGTAATGGGCGAAAAGTAATTTTGACCTTTTGTGATATAAAGGTCATCGACACGTCAATGTTTGACATGTGGTCAGTCTTGCTGCCACTAGTCTGGTACCTAGACATTACAGGTGTTCAAAACACATATAAAACTTTCTTAAACGCAGGCAATAGCATCTCTAGTGTCTTTGATGATTCAATTTAAACATTGTTTACGTACAATCTTCAAGGCTACACTCTGCGTTTTATTACGAGTTTCCATGTTAGACATTTACATAGAAATGTAAATTGTGCGACCTTCACCTTGGCCTTTGCCAAAAGGTCTGTCAAACAAACCTGCTGACTGTGTAAAACATTTATCATAGAATGTATGTACGTCAAAGTTCCATGTGTTTGGTGACAGCTGGAGACATCTAACATGTGCTCATAACAAATTAGGATAATTAATAGATCATGCTTCCAGCAAGTTCAAAATGCAGCACGATTCATTTTCTTACCATATAAATAAAACAATAAGAAACGGTTCTTATTGTTTTATTTAAATGTTTTTTTGCTATTTCAAAGTTTTTAATTGATCTTATCTTATTTAGAATGCATTTACATCGAATCAAACAAAAACTAACCCACTTTTTCAGTAAATATTTTCAAATAAATGTATCGACTACGGAAACGAATTTTATATAACTAGTTATTGTTAGAGGCTTAAAAGTAAGTATCATCAGGTTTTTATAAACATGATACAACAACATTTATCCTTCCGAGAATCTTAATGTTTGACCTTATCACAAAACGTTTTAAAATTCAGCCAAAAAAGCCACGTCAAAAGATGGTTTTCGGACAATCGACCCAATTATTAAATATCGAACTGACATTGATATAAGATGATATACTAATATTCAATAAACTGCGGTCGATACGTGATTTTGTCAACCGGAGATAAATAGTGATATCATTTTCATTTTCCCGACTAAGCAACTCATCGCAGCCTTTTTACGCCTGTAGAAAGGCCATATAAGTGTCGAACAACACTAGAAGTGATACACTGTACTATGCTGGTTGGTAGCACCCTAACATATAATCTGCTACTCTATACCGACATCCTGCTGTTAACCGCTTACCAACCTTGACTAGCCATTTATTGGTCAACAAGTGGCCGGATTGTCGAACATCTAGGTGATCCGGTTATTAAATGTTGAGCCATTTTCGTTCGTTAGCATTGACAAGGTTGTGTAATACCGCTAAGTAATACCTCTCTTATCTTGGTTAATAATAGTTCCCTTATATAATAGTCAGTACAGGTCTAACAGGAGCACCTGTCGTGCCGTCTGTGAAAGTGGGCGATATACTGATGCCATAATCTCTGTCTTTTATCCGAGTAATTACATGTAAAACTCGTAGTCGATTTCACCCAGTTAGAAATCACAAAGTAAACACGTATAAACGTATTATGTTTGACACACAACCTATATCCGAATAATGGTTTCGGGTTTATCGCTGTTTTTATAGGTACTAATAAAACGTGTAATGTTTTTCTTAATAACATACTAGGCCATTGTTGAATGTTATACATGATCAACATTGTTAAGAATGAAAATATTTTAATAAAGGCAACAAAAGAACTAGGGCAATGATTACGCGCACCACTACGCTCAAGGATTATATAAATCTTTGGACCAGCCATTTTGACTATGTACGATACACCCCATATTACATCGAAATAACCTACAACGGTACCTATGTTTAACAAGGCCCTTTTATAATTATGATTTATCACACCTGTTTGTAGACAGAAACTCTTAGCTCTTGTCTATTGAGAGCATTACAAACACCACCGTTCAGAAAAAGGTCACCTTCTTCTCGATGTTATACCGTAGCATTGTGTACCGTAACCTTATACGGTAGTATGTCATATTTATTATATTTACTGTATCGAGTTTAGTTATCCTGTCGAAAGCTTTATGTGTCTCTTTAATGTTTTTCAGTGGTTTAAGGCTTCGTGTAAGCTATTTGCGCCCTTGTTTGGTTAAAACAAATTGATTCCTTTATGGAAGTAAATCTCGGCTATATTACCCAATATTCGAAACTTTTTAATTATTCAAGATTTGGTACAATTTAGTTCTTTATGACCCAGTACTATACTGTAACCCTGCCGTCTTGAACGCAGGATTTGCAGTAAGAGACGTC